TAGTGTTTAGTGGCCAGTTGCAAGCGGGACACAAATTTAAAAATTTTGATTCAAAAAATAAAAAATTTTAAATTTATGTGCAATATTTTGTGCAAATAATTTTGCGGCGCAGTTAATTTTAGAAAATCAAATAAAACCTGAAAAATTTCAAAAATAATTGCCAATTCAAAAAAGTGCATAATGCAATAATTTTCGATTTTGGCACAGCGAATTACTGGGAAAATTGTGTGTGGGCGTGTTTTTATTCTGCGCCAAAGAAAACAAAAATCTAAAGTCAAAAGTACATACATACATACATACATATCTAAAGATTAGCTGCATTTATTTATTAAGCAACAAGTGCCTTTGCAGCCGAAAATTAAAAAAAAAAAAAATTAAGTATTTGCGAAAACAAAAGCAACTATTTAAAGCGGAAACGATGTCCAGTGCAGCGCATATCCTGGCATTGCTCTTGGCATTGGCATTAGGCTGCACAGCAGGTGAGTTGGTTTTCTAAACATTTTACTTGTGGTTCATAGACCTTTTGAAAAAAAAATTTGTGCAGCACATCATCTCGATTTCTTACCATCGAAAGACACTCGCGGAATACTGAAAATATGTACATATGCGAAAGTTGCAACAGTGATAACAGATCAAAAATAAAAACAAAAAACATTTCGAAAAAGTTTTTTTTTTTTTTAAATTAAAAGCAAAACGTAAATACATTTAAGTTAAATAGTTTTTATTTATTGGTTTCATTTCGGTTCTGAACGCGTTTCGAAGAACTCAGTGACTGGAAATAACGAAAATAAAGCTTATATTTGTTGGAAGAGAAAATTCGGAACCAATTTTGCAGTAATCGTAGTTATAAATGGAGAATTACAAGTTTTTCAAAGACTTTGTTTTTTGGTTTTTTTTTTTTTTTTTTTTTACTGGGTCTATACAGCGGCTTTCGTTTCCTTCAGCGCTCGGCCCGAACTACATCTCACTTTCCTCCGATTTCATTTGCTTCATTTACATTTTCCTTTTTGGCTTTCCTCTCGTCTTTCTCTTGCCTTCCAATGCAGCGCCAAATCCGCTATAGCATTCCACTAATCACTGCTCGCTTCTTCTCCAATTACGTGCCGCCCTCACTCATTCCCACTTGACACACACCGCCACCTACTTCCCCTTCCACAGTGTGCGCTTACTGTTCTAATAAAAGGGTTGCATTTTGTTCGCATTATCGTCGTTTTTGTTTCAAACCTCAATTCATGTTTGTTTTTGTTTTTTTTGCATTCGGTCTGGCGCCCGCCATTGCATATGAATGCCCGTTAATTATGAGCTGCGCCACTTAATACATATTCCACCTAAATTCCTAACCTTTCCCCCCTCCATGGCTGGTCATTCCCGTTTTTTGTTGCATTCAGGCAAGTTCATTGAACTGTTTCCGCTTCCGTTGTAGGGTATCACTTGGCACTCTGTCAAAAGTGTAATTTCATGTTTGAAATGTTTGCAATTTAAATGCCGCATTTGATAATTCTGAACAGGAAAAAGTTTGTAAATTAAATTTTTGATATAAAATAAAAGCAGAGATAGCTTTGAGCAGATGTTGCATTAACTTGAAGCCATATATTTGGATTTTATGACTCAAGTGTCTCCCGCTTCACTGGGCATGGAAACATTTAAACTTAAAATAGTTAAAATAACCCCTGCTGTTGTAACTTATCTAAGTTGAATAGACCGCCGTTGAAGACGCCCAGTCCTTTCAATTATAGCGACACAAAAAACTGCTTTCGGATTCACTATAGTGCTATTCAAGACCTTTAATTTGAGCCAAGGTGGAAGTCTTTAGGCCCTTTACAATGATAAGAACGATGTGAAGGTTATAATGTTTAGTTACTTAGCTCTTTTTTAATTCAATATACATCTTTTTACAACATTGTACTTCCACAGTAGTTTGCCTAATAATAGCAGAATAAAGTTGTCACCCGTGTTACGAACTCTCACACAACATCCTGCTACCACCTTTTATACGGCCAAACGAAATGGCAATGTATGCCTGTCAGTGCGTTATATTTAAGTGTCCTTGAGTCACATTATCGCCAATAAAAATGAATTGGCGAAAGATCAGGCCATCAGTTGAGGGCACTTAGTTACGCAAATAAATACATATCGCAACGTAAATCAAAAAGCGCCACAACTCGAAAAATCCCAAATGTGTTGGAGAGCCAAAAACCTGTAAATGCTGCACAAGTGACGCAAGCAAAACAACAGCAGTCTTAATAATATTTTTCCAGTTAAAAAAGATAGTGATGAAGAAAAAATTTTGGCGGACGTTAGAATCACGGCATGTGAACTGCTTTATCGCAAAAAATATAATTTTTAAAAATTTTGAGTTGTGACTTTTTTCGATTTAAAGTGCGATATGTACATAAATATGTATGTAGATACAAAACGTAACTATATCATCCCTGCAGTGTAAAGCCAAACGCATCAGTAAAAATACCAGTTCATTAACTAGCATGAGCTAAAGCGATGGCCTACCAATTCCTACATCTGCCTTTGAATTGTCAAAGCTAAAACTAAAACGCAATTAATTACTTTTCTCAAAAGTTTCGGATGTGGCTTCGCGAGAAAATTGCCGCATCTGGTACTGTAAAAAAAGTACAATAAAAAACTCAAAGTAAAAAAATGCATTAAAGAAACAGAAAGAAAGAAATTCGCTACCTAGAGATTGAACCGCGAGGAAAATGACATTCTTATTCTTTTCACGGGAGATGAATTGACGGGATAGTCGTCAGCCAATATGATGCTACTTAGTAGTAATGTTAATGCATAGCCGTACACTTGACATTTCGTAGGCCATATTGAAAATACCAGTCACTAGTATGGAAACAAGATGGAGTTGGGCTGAATTCTAGTTCACAACTAGTAGCTTTCCCTGCAGGGAAAGGAATGGTAGAAGTACAAGAATGTGTAAAAACCAAAAAAATAACAGCAGGCATTTTATATCGCCTACTTATCAAGACAAGGACTAAAAAAACAGTTTGTTTGCATGCAACCATTGACATAATAAAACTGCCTTAATACGTACATATGTATGTATGTTTTAGTTGTGCTTAAGTAAAGTAAGAAAATTGTATATCTCAAAAAGCATACTCGAGTATGTAACTAGAAAAAGTTCTTAATGAAAAATCAAGCCTGCAAATACAAATAGTTATGTCTACGAACACTTCCAACACTTCAATCGTACGTCCGACGTGCCACTTAGCAGTTCACCTTAAAAGGGACACACCCTGCGGAATTATTGGAAACGTAAACAATATAAATATGCGCATACATTACATACATAAGAATTGACATCTCCCACACAAAAAGTAGGAGTCAAAAAGCCTCTATTTCTAAGCGCATATCGTGTGCAAAAAAAGCACTGCACAGTGTCGGCAAAATGGGCTTTTAAGCTAGAGACGATGGCCTAGGGGGTAGTGATTTGTCTACAAGATTTGCTATCGGCCGGAATCAAAGAATGGGAACATTTTCAGGGACTTTGGAGAAGATCTATCTTCGCGTTTTTGAGAAAATGCACTTCAATTGCGATTTCCCACAACCTGCCGAAATTAACAAACGACAATCTTTTACCCAGGCGACGATTTGTAAATATCTATGTCTCTGCGAGAGTTTTGGGTTAGTGTTAAGAGTAAATATCATGAAGTCGCTAAAAGGTCATCTTAATTTTGCTTCCTTCTGTCACAACGTACTCCCTCCGTCAACAGGGTCTTCAGCTTACATTTATACAAAGCACAGATTCAGGTCGAAATTGGATGCTACCCCTGAAATGCTCATACAGCTTTCAGACATTATATCGAACTACTCTTTTATACAATAATTACTAACAGTGAAATAATTTCATTCTTCACATTGAAATTTAAAGTATTTATACTATTTCTAGTAAAAGTGTTTATTCGTATTTAAATTGCACTGCCTTTGATTTTTAGTAATTTGATGTGGGGTTCCACAAAATGAAATGTGGTTAGTAAGGGTTCCATCAACTTAAAAGTTTTTTAGAACCCCTGCCTTAGAGAGTCTTTTTTTCCTTTTATCATTGTTAACGATCTCCGGATATAATATAAATTTATATACGTTGTCTGGTTTTAGCATCTTTAAACTTGCACTTTGCATACTAAAATAGAATGGACTATAAAAGTGCCAACTCGAACTCAATGCAAAAATTCTGATTAAAAAGCTGGAATTCTTCTGAAAATCTTTAGGTTTTTCTTCGTTTTGTCCCAAGTTTGAAATTCTGTTTGTAGAATGAACTAAATATATATTCATTTATAAAATATGAAACGAAAAAACATTACATTTTCAATAACGCAAAAAAAAAATAGAGAAAGCAATTAACTATACAAATACCTTCTCCGATTTCAGTTAAAAAAAACCGGCAATGTACATACTTATCCATTTTCCTATTTTCACTTCACACAAATTACGAGCCGACAAGACTTTCGAGGCTGAGACAGTCACTAAAAAAATTCACTATCATTTCCATAGCAAATTAGAGACTTCAAAGCAAATGACTACCTTTAAAAATAATTTTAACTTTTTCAACAGGTAAATTGTTTCAACAAAGTTGTGTCAAATATTTGCATTTATGTACATACATATTAAATGTTTTATTTCCAAATATGTAGATAAATACATGTGTAAGTCTATACTTTTTTTTCGTTTCAACTTTACTCACACTTAATATCTGCGTGATGGCATTTCCGTCAAAAAGGAGAAAACTATTTTTAATTGCAGCTTTTTTGAAATACACACATATATCGCGAATCCTCTTTATATCTGATTAAATTTTTGCGACCAGAACTTAATTAGTAGCGGCTACCTATGCAATTATTAATTAATCTACAAACATGTATGGACGTAATTATGGATGATTGCAATAATTTCCCAGCCAGCGAATGTCATTATTTACTGCGGCGGCCGCTTTGCTGGCTGATGCGTGCCTCATTCAACTTGTCCGCAGGTTTTTAGAAATTTCGTTAGTTTAAATAATTAAATATCGTGCGAATCTCGATTAAAGTTGAATGGGTGGGTGCATGTTTGCTATTACATATGTATGTACATATGTGTGTGTGTATGTGAATTGACTTAATTTGTAGGAAAAAATTTATAGCAAGATTGGCAGTTAAGTATCTAAGTTGACAAGTGCACACAAAATGTGTGTATACTAGGGTACTTCTTAAAATGTAAAAATCAAAATTTTGTATGGGTCACCCTCTCATTTCGTTCTATGTACAAAATAAAAACATCGAAGAAAATTAAAAAATTTCAAATAAATTTTTTGGGGTCGCTGCCAAAAAGCTCAGTGGTAATTTTATTATTTTCCAATCTGGTAGCGGCCCCTAAAAATATTAAAAAAAATTTTAAATTTTCTTCGATGCCATTATTTTCTACGTAGAACGAAGTAAAGGGCGTCCCATAAAAAATTTCGATATTAACATTTTAAGAAGCACCC